GATCTTAGTGTCGACCATCTTGAACTCCAGAAATTTGCCGACGACGAATTTCTTCGCCCCAGCATCCTCAGTTTTGTATTTCTTCTCCAAGGCAGCCCAAAGCTCCTTGGCCGAGCCAACCGAGCTATACACATTGTACAACTCGTTACTCAGTCCGTTGAGGACGTAGTTCCGGCAAAGGTAATCACCTTGCCCCCAAGCATCGTATGTAGCTCGCAGCTCAGCATTCGATTCATTTTCAGCCACGACAGGAGGGTCGTCTTTCAGGTACTTCACCAAACCCAAAGTGGTCTGGTAGAAGTGCATCTTTTGTTGCCACCTCTTGAAATCAAGCCCGTTGAATTTTTCGGGCTTCTCAGCAGTGGGAACATGAACAGCAGGTTGAGGATGATGAACAGCGGGGGTGACAGGTGGTTGAGTTTTTTATCCTTCTCCAGTGGATGCCATCAGTTCAGTAGGTGTCGAGATTTTTGTCTTGCGATTGTTTCACAATGTGTGTTTTGAATTACAACGGGAACCTATGAACTGACTGAAGTGTTCAGTTCTTACAATTTGAACTAAAACAGAAACGAAAAATTACAAAAGAGAAAGAAAAAATAGTCGAGGCGATTGCTCTTTCCGCAAGACGAAAACACCCCGTATAGTGCTGACGGGTACAGATGTCTCGTCCCCAAAGATACAACGGCTTACGTCTCGAACACTGTAGCACACCAGAATTCAAGCTCCGACGAACTGGAATGAAGTCGAGAACAGAGCAGTATGATATGATGCGTGAGGCTTTGAGAATAATCAGAGTGCATGAAATGTTGTGTATCTTCTCTGCAACTCAATGTCCTATTTATAGGACTTCCACCTCTGAGGGAGAACCAAGGGTTACACCAGCCACTTAAGGCTGAGATAAATGACACCATTATTCTCAAAACGTTTCAGGTGTTAAAACACCATTAACCAGGAGGAGTTATGATGCAGACCCTAGTAAGATATTGTTCGCTTTGGGCTACTTCCGCCACCCGCACGGCTTTGTTCTTGGTTGGGCATCAATACACACCCACCAAAACGCGTCTTACTAGTGAAGGTATCCACATCCTCATATAAGGCCTGCTTCGTTTCCTTTCAAACCCGATGTGGGATGCACTGCATCATCCACC